CATTTGCGCGGTTTAAGTCATAATAATTTTTACATAGTGCACAAAAAAAGATGTTGTCTTCCAGGTATTTCTTGCATACAACCTGCACATTTATTTTTCTCACTGTTCATTTTTAATATAATTGACAGCACCCTCTTTTTTGGTGGATAAAAGTTGTATAGACAGCAGATATAGTACGTTGTTATTAGTTCTTGTGTTCCAAACTAGATATCGCTATTTATATTATAATTTGCAACCACTAATTTCCACTAGATGGCGTTTTTCGTACAATCTTTTTTATGTGTGAAGACGGCGGGTATATAATATATAAATTTGAAATCTACTGGTTTTAATATATAGAAATAAAGTTTTATGGTCACTAAGTTGTTTTAACCCATACACTATTTGTTTGTGTGTGTAATTAAGCTCACTTATACCTTCTTATCACTTTTTTATCACTGTCACCTATGTTTTACATAGTATTTATTTAGTTCACACGAATAATTTTACACAGCTGTTTTTAACTGTTTTTTATACTATTCGATAGATTTAGCACTGGATAACACTTGTACTTGTTTACTACTACTAAATCTTTGTTTTAAACTACTTTTTACATTTCACTAAATCGTTATTAATAATTTTTTGGCGAGAAATACGTAGAACTATTGTTTACAAACTGAGCAGCGCCCTCTTGTCTGTTATTAATATAAGGTACGCAGGAACTCATCTGGGAACCCTGATCCAGATAAACTACGAATATGTCGCAAAAACGGGCTCGGTTTGCGATCTCCCAATTCCTCATTCCTGAGCAACTGCTTAATTTGCTCGCTTCTTGAAGCTGATAGTCTGGTAATTAACTCACGTTTCAGTGTATCGTATTTCTCGTTCGCCGGTGGTCTAATTATTAGATCTCCGACTTCCGCAGCAATTTTCGGATCTAACACCGATATAACATGATAATATTTTGTGACATTCGATGTAATATTCGCTAATGCAAATTGGCAATCCAACTGTGCAAACCAAAGCGTTGGTTTCTCGGGCCAAAATGGCGGCATCTTACATCCGTATTTATAAACAAGCAAAAGTAATTACTTGAGTAAAAATAATAACTTAAGTAATGATTTTTATTCGATAGTTAAGTAATTGCTCCAAGTTAAAAGTGTCAAAAGTTAGAATACTCAGCCAAGTAATAGTCACCATTTCCTTTACTTAAGCACTACTTTGAGTTTATTTTGGATAAAAAATGGAAACAGGATAGCATCAGAACGATTTTTGCTGTTGTAGACAATATAGATGGTAGATAATATCATATTACAGGAGACAGAATTTGATTTTTTTTATATATATATATATCGAATAAATAATCATTTGAACAGAACTTAAACAAATAAGTATAATAATCAAACATTATATTTATGTTGTAAGTTTTACACTATTTACTTTTACACATTTAATTTTATCGAATAATTATTATTTTTAACAGAAAACAAGAATTAATTAAAATTTTTTTTTACTTTTATGCCCTAGAGTTGAATTTTAAAATAACGAATTTGACAACCTGCCGCCTAGTAAGCGCTCACGGGTACCGAAGTTGCCACAATAGGCAAATAGATCTTAGCTAGGCTAAGAAGCCCGGGTGACAACCCTCTTTCATGCCATCTCACATCTCCAACACATCTCCCTTTATAGGAGCGACAGGTGATTACATGAATATATGTAACTCTTTTTTCGGGATTATGTTATTTCTGCTAAATAAACCTAAGAAGGTTTATTTAGCAGAAACGTCTAAACTTTAAAAGTTTAGACGTTATCTAACTTCGATATTTTTTACGAATATTTATTTTCGGCGTCATAAAATTCGTGTTAATCGTCGTTCGTAAGTTTTAACATACGGAATTTTATGCCTTCGAATTGTTAGTTATTTCGAAACCTTTGACAGTAAGCCAAAACATCGTTCATAATAATGAAGAAGAAAAGAAGAAGATGTTTATGAACACGGAAACAGCCACCAAGCGTAGAGTGTTACTTGGGCATTTGCTCAAGTAACGTGTGTTACTCAACTATAGAATGAGATTTTGTAATTAAGAATTCTACCCTTAAGTAATGACTTATCTAAGAAATTACTTAGTAACAAGTAATTACTTCTTTATAAATACGGGTATTAATGCCTACTCGGCAAAGTAGCGCTTCACTGCCACTAGTGCTGCTTTTAGTTGCGTCCGTGCTAACCTCTTGCCACATTTTTGATAATCTTAGTACGCTATGTTCTTCGCGGGGTCACCAGTTGTGGGAGGTTCCACTGGGCAATGATGGAAACGCCTTTCACTCTTCTAAGAATATAATGGTTTCTTTTTACCAAAGGACAGTTTGCAACACAGATATTACACAGCACCAAACAAGAGAAACTAATACTAAATACAATTAATTAAATGTCCAAAAGACATTTAAAATATGCAAGCCAATAATAGATTTATGCGATTTGAACGGCAACCGTTACTCCGGCGGTGCAAAGCGTGAGGTCTAACTCTGAGGCCGTTTCAATGCAGACTAATGCATAGGCATGTCGATCTAAAATCGATTAATCGAAAAATCGATTCTTTGAAGCAAAACAATCGATTTTTTAGATCGATTCGGTACACCGCATCGATTCACTGAATCGATCCAAAAACCTCTCGAATCGGACCGATTCATCTGATTCTAGAACCAGCGAGAAAATTCCCAAACTGGCTGGGTTAAGATACCGCAGTTTTTTAATTTTTTGCTGTTGGGGAACGCAAAAACAACCGATCATACTTGGTTGATAATTTGAACGCAATATACAACACGTAACATAATTAACGCACTTTGAGAAAGTAGTTTGTTCAGAATTGTTTACTGAATAGATTCCTATCATTTTTAATATAGGTAATTTTTTATCCCAAAAATAATTAAAACTACGTAAATTACAGTCACACTAAATCTGTATAGTCAAAACAAACTGAAATGGACCGTAATTTAATGCAATAAGACTTATAAGAGTGTAGTTTTATTTGTATTATTACTAATTCTGTCATTCAATAAAAATAAAGAAAAATGAACATGATTTCAAGCACGTTAAATTCTTTGCGTTCGTGGATTTGTACTGTGACCACAACATTCTTCCGGAATTAGTATAACTAATTTGATAAATAATCAGTGCATAAAAATGTTTAACTAAAAATTCAGTGTATGTATTATGTTTATAACATAATATACTAATTCGGGTGTCTGAGGGTGTGCGTTAATTACGTTACATATTGTATATTTGAATAAAATAAATATTTATGAACGCATCAAACAATATCGAAAAGTTGTCATTTCATTTTCATTTCTAAATTTCTAATTCTATTCTTACCTGTGGAATGTTGGTCTAACTTAATCTGTGCTTTGAACAAAACTACATATACATACTACAATTTAATATTACCTATAGCTGTGAACCTGTTTGAACTGTGAACTTTCGAATTTACTTTATTATCAAATACATACATACTATGAGCTGTAAGTACAGACGGAGTACTTTCTATATATCTAGACGCTGTAAATAAATATTATATGTTGAAGTTTATAGAGGTTTATAGTAAGGAAATAACCAGTATTGTGTTCGTGTAGCATTCATTTAAATTTGATAAATAGTGAGTTAATAGATTGAAACAGATTGATCGAGAAATGTACGTTGCAGTTTGCCCTTTTGTTAAAAGTATTGTTGTTGTTTTTAGCCTAAAATGTCAAATAAAAGTGATACATGGAATCAATTTGTAAAAAAAGGGATCGAGTGGCGAACCACCCCTAAAACAAGCGTTTCAAGCTTACCAGGAGAGGTTAAAAAGGAATATTAGTAATTTTAATTAATAAGATTACTAATATTTTAATTTCAAAAAATATTCAAAATTCAAAATTCTTTATTCAGTATCTTAAATTTATATATAAAAATATTGAAGTTCAATTAAAGAAAAAATCGCAAATTCTTGAAATTTCATGTTTGAAAGTGTCGCGATTAATCGAAAATCGATCTTTTAATCCTCGATTTAATCGATAATCGATTCTAGTATCTTCGATTCGAATCGATTCAGAGATCGATTTTTTTAAGAATGAATCGACATGCCTACTAATGCATACTGCCGGGAAAACTGAAGACGCCCGGGCCGTCACGAAGGCGGCTCGAACGTAGCCGAGCATTCCCGACAGCAACCGATACGAACATCGCGTCGACGTGTGCGACGTTCAATACATAAACAAAAATAGAAAGGTGCATGTCGCCACAAAATTATTGATTATAGTACATGACAGTTCTACATTTAATAATTGCTGCCGTAAAGCAAAATTTGAAGCTGGTGATTATGGTGAAGGAATTCTACTTGTAGATGGTGGATATGCAACTACATCCTATTCTATGCCCTCACTAGAGAATCCTGGAACAGCAGTAGAGCAACTGTACAACGAGTTACAGATTAGGACAAGAAATACTGATGAAAGGTCCAGGTTCCAGTACTAGCTTTAGGACTGCGAGTTGAATTAGACAAGGCTTTGGTTATAATTATGGCAATGGCTGTGCTGCATAACATATTGCGTCAACGAGGAGAAACAGTTCCACCTGATGATCCAGATTCGGTCCTTCCAGCAACTTGGGAGGCGCTCTTACAAAATGGACAAATATGGTGTGAATAATCAAGTACTCCTCAGCGAAATAGAGCCAGAGAACTCCTAATAAACAATCACTTTAGGAATCGTATATAGTTTATTGTGAGAAAAAAGTTAAATAAAGAAACCATGTTTTTTATTAAGTCATGTTTTATTTTTTTTGTTTTCTCCACCTTGATTATTGTGATAATACTAACTTAGTTTTAATTTTCTCCTGCTTTAAAACTTCATTTTTGATTTTAATGTCTATCTCAAAAAATTTTCTTGCTTCTTTACTCTCTTCAGCAGCAAAATTCATCTGCATTTCGGTAGCTTTTTTTGTTCTTTTTTTGGTATTATTCTAGCGATGAAGCAACTCTATTCTAGCAACTCTTACTTTGAGTAGGAGAAGGCCCTACATCCTCTTCTCTCTTACTCACTGCCCGTAGAGGTGCAGATTTCGGAGTTTGCAGCAGTTTCGGAGTGTAGTCTCCCCAATCCTTCAAAATAAAAATAATTTAGTAATGTTTTCACAAAATTACTAACTTATTTAATAGACTTTTAATGGGTTAAGTAACTCAATAAAAATTTTGCAGAAATACTTTAGAATACTATTTTAACATTAATTTGTAGGTTACATACAGCTGTGTCTCCTTACGATTTAACATCATTTTGTCCGCTTGTATCTATATCCATTAACAGATGCATGGTTATGGACTTAGAATATATAGAAGCAGGAACAAATATATCTGTTACATCTGGAACTGAAAAAAAAAAACACATTATTGATAAAATAACATTATTTATTAAATAAAATTTAGAGATACCACTTAAGTAATGCTGTTAAGTCAAAGACAGTCATAAACTGTGTACCTTTATTGGAAGCCAATGTGTAACTAGGAATCTCTTTAATGATAACATGATTATTGCTCATGTTATCACTGTCATATTCAGTGACCAGTCCAACTACCGTCGTAGATATCAAAGCCAAGATTTTGCTATATAGTGGGTTGTCCTCAATTTTATTATTAGAGATAAAAACACAAAGTAATGTCAAGGATGTCACACAAAAATTAATAACAAAGAAATTAAGATAAATATTACCTGTTTGAATCAAGCTTTGACTTTCAGCAGACGATTATTTTTGGTGGATTTTTTCAGACTTTCCTGGTTTGGGAATTGAATTCTTCCGATATTCTTACCCACTCCGCATTTTTCTGTTTCATAGTAACAGCATCGGTACGCTTATTTTCTACTACACTGAAATGTTGAGCCACTAAATCCACAAGCAACATCTTTTCCGACATTTGCCAGTTGCGACTGCGTTTCTGTCCGACATAATTAATTAAAATTGATATTAAAATAACAAAAAAGCGACGAAAAATACAACGTGTATCAACAGTTGATGAAATGAATCTGCTTCAAAGTGACGTCGCCGTGTGACGCCGAGAAGGAAAGGAATGACATACTTAATTTGTTTTCTTTATACAATTATTCACTTGCTCATTCAAGTAGCATACACAGATAAGTGAAACCGTTAATCGAAAGAATAGTTAATCTGGGGCTAACTAATCTATTGTTTTGCATGGTGAAATGTACAGTAAGTTATCTGAGAGTAAAGGTAGGGAATATCTTTATTCTCGGGTTAGTTAATCTTAGACAACGACGTCGTTGGTGAAATCGGAACTAACTAATGTTCAGCCTAAGTTAATGGCTGTTGCTATTTTAAATAAAGAAATGGGAAGGGAATAAATTTATAGTAAAACGCACACGCACATATTATTACCTTAAAATGTATATATAAAAACTGAATAATCTGGTTTTTGTAATCGTATTAAGAACCGATGACAATAAAATAATTTCATGACTATGATCTAGTATGCTCACAGCTCATGTTCAAAGCATGTTGTTTATGATTTTTTTAACTCTAATATTATTTTTATTCTATGTTCCAAGCACAACTCCTGCACTTTGCCTAAATAAAATCTAAAAAACTTCTTCGATAACGTTTAGTTAGAGATGTACAGTGAATACGGATGGATATCTAACTCAGAAACAAAAGAAGTGCTAATCAAATATATATTTTGAAACAGTAAAATTTTGTCTCTTGAATTATTGCGAACAACAGTCACATATTATTTTCTAGATCCTCCTACTTTTTTGGAGTCATTTCTAGAAATGACTCCAAAAAAGTAGGAGGTACTTAATTCCAATGTATTTTTTATATGTGTAACCTCAGAACTTGTTTCTTAGTGAATCGATTTTGATGATTTTTTTAAAGCTGATGGTTCTATTATTCATATTTTATTTAATTTGATAGATATTTTTTAATAATGCATATTTAATTGTCTTCGACTATGTTGACAATGTTCTCATTTTATTTATATCAATTGTACAATTATTTTTAATTTTACAACTCGTACTTTTTTATTAATATGTCAGCTAATATTACCTATACAAACTATCAAAAGTCCACTGCTGAATATGCGGCTCGATCATAGATTGCCTCACAGTGGGAGATATTTGCCATAGTTACCAGGATTAGCGAGCGGATAGGTAAACGCAGCTTGTTATTTTTATTCATCTTGAAGTTTGTGTGTGAAGTGTGTGCTTATCTCCTGTTTCAGTTTCTCTCTGTGGCTTCTTGCCACAGCCACGGTTCGGTATGGGGTAGTAGACATTCTTACACATAAACCGACTAAATATGACATGGTTATATTTATTAAACTCAAACGGTTATTAATCGAAGGTCTTAAGAAATTTCTTGCTTTTCGTCTTTTACAACACCAAGGAGACTCAAGCGACGAGCTCATATAACAATCGGAATTCAATTTCATACCTTATATTTACTCCAATAAGAGTTAAACTTTACTTGTACGGAGTGCGAGAAACTTTCCATACACTATCTGCGTCTTAATGCCATTGATATTTTGTTGTTTCAGTTTAGTTTTAAAAAATCAGACTTTTTAATAAAAAGTAAAAGCTGACTACAAATAATTGAAAGAAATAAAATAAGTTCCGACTTTTGCAGCTATTATGTGAAATAATTGGAATTACTTTATTCTTTTAAGTTCTCTAAATTGAACCTAAATTTATTCATAGTCTATTTTTTCTCTTTTGAGTGGACCAGGAAACATCATGTATGAATGCTTACCAATCATATGGGATAATATTAAAGTACTGGCTTAGATTAGTAAAAGTATCAAAAACTTTCCAAATAGTTGCACTATTTTCGTACCATATTTGTCCACGCTTAGAGGTGAAATATTTTTTCCAAATTCATATGGAACCACTACTGAATTTATCATCATCATCATCATCATCATCACATACCATAAAATTCCACTGCTGAAAATGGGCCTCCCATAGATTGTAGGGAAGGATTTTGCTATTTGGCACGCTTGGCGAGTGGGTTGGAAACCGATTTTTTTTATTAATTTGAGTTGTTATCAGGAAAATGCTGCAGCCCATTACCTGTTGCAATTTCCCTCTGTCGCCTCTTACGACACCCACGGGACGATATGGAGTAGTGGATATTCTTACACCGCCACTACATGGTTTAAGGATTACTTCTGTTTACTAAACACAAGTCATCAAAATTATTGACGAAGGTAAAGTTACAGCATATATGCATCCCACTACTGGGCACAGTCCTCCGCTCATTTCTGAGAGGGTTTTAGGGCAAAGAATTGTCCGCCGCGATACCCCAATGTGTGTTAGCGAACATTTTAAGGTAATAATATGTGCGTGTGCGTTTTACTATAAATTTATTCCTTCCCATTTCTTTATTTAAAATAGCAACAGCCATTAACTTAGGCTGAACATTACTTAGTTCCGATTTCACCAACGACGTCGTTGTCTAAGATTAACTAACCCGAGAATAAAGATATTCCCTACCTTTACTCTCAGATAACTTACTGTACATTTCACCATGCAAAAAAACAGATTAGTTAGGCTCAGATTAACTATTCTTTCGATTAACGGTTTCACTTATTTGTGTAAGACTACTTGAATTAGCAAGATAATGATTGTATAAATAAAACAAATTAAGTATGTCATTGCTTTCCTTCTCACTCACTCACGATGTTTTCCTTCACCGCCGAGCACGTGGTAAATCAGCACTTAAAATTGCAATTAACAATTTCATTAGTGCCGGCGGGGATCGAACTCGGTTTGCTCGCGTACTGTGAAATTTACAGCGAGCGCTTACCATCTGAGCTACCACAGCTTGACGAAGGTATTAAGTAATATTACAAACAAATAAATTATTAATAAAAAACTTTTTAAAAACAAACCTTTATTGAAATGCTTTAAAAATGAAAATAAACTTTAAATCAAGTTAAACCCATTTACATTATACAATTTATTTAATATTTGTTTGTTCTTATTTTATGCGCTGCCATACTGTACATCCGATTGCGGTAAAACTTTGTTAACATTTTTCTTGCACTCCCGCGAAGGTCCAAGGCTTAGCTAGATCCGGTAGGTGGTGCTGTAGAATCCAGACATCACCTCTGTGAAACCGGGGCAGATCGATAGTATGATTTAAAAACTCGCTCGCCAAACGTGACAAATAGAGCAACATACCCCCCCCCTCCCCATGAGCAACGACGCAAATAGACCGCCTGGGACCCCGCCGGCACTGCTATTATTGACCATGGTAACGGCAGGGCAGAGGGTTCTAGGAAACTCCGGTGGAAGTTCGGTTGACACCTAAAAAGATTCGACCTGGCAACATACAACGCACACACACTGAGTACTGACGAAAAGATCCTGGAGCTAGAAGAAGAGATAGACAAATTGCGCTTGAATAATATAGGATTATCCGAGGTCCTAAGAGAGGGAAGGACACGGTGATGCTCGAATCCAGCAACTTTTTCTATCACCGTGAGGGCGACCAACTGTCCCAAGGAGGTGTTGGGTTTGTCGTCCAAAAGTATCTCAATAACAACGTTGTAAAGATTGGGAATGCCATTGAATATTACGAAAATCTCTTCATCACAACGTGACTCCAGCCAATAGAGGGAGTTAATTGGCAACTTTAATACTGGTAACATTATCCGTAACTCATCGTGCTCAATCGAAGAGAAGTGGAAAGAAAATAGTTATAAAAGAGTCTGTATCATTATTCTTGGGCATTCTGTTTTAGAAACATGCATCTTGGTTGTCGTAGTGATATTAGGTGTTGCAAATTTAAAAACTGAAGTAGGAAAGTAGTGTTTTTACAAATCAACATTGAATATATAAATTGTTATATTGTGTAAAATGACATGTAGGAAGTCGATCGATGCAGGTGGCTGAGGACCGGGCTTTGTGGCATCCCTTGGGGAAGGCTGACGTACAGCAGTGGGCTTTTGAAGGGCTTTAATGATGATGATGATGACTATGGTTGTGATTAAAAAAACTATGTTTATATTTTTTATTTACAATTAACGACCCGCCCGGCTTCTACTGAGTATAATCTACTAATGTGGGGATTTACATTAAAGATAATAAAATACAATTTCTTTTACCATTATTTCAAACGAATTTTTCTAACGTAACCTAGATTACTCCTGGCATTGCTCTCTATCTGTTCATTAAGTTTCATTACAGTCAACTCAGCCATTCCAACGTTTAGCTCGGATAGACAGACAGACGGACAAAAAATTAAAAAATTCATATTATGTATTAATAGCATGCTAATAACCCCCTGAGCTTAATCATTTTCATCATTACAGCCCTTCACAGGATCACTGCTGAACATAGGCCTCCCCCAAGTAATGCCACAAAGCACGGTCCTGAGCCACCTGCATTGAGCGACTTCCTGTATACCTTACCAGGTCGTCACTTAATCTAGTGCGGGGTCGCCCTACACTACACCCGAGGCTGCCACTCAAGAATCTTTTTTCCCAATCGGTTGTCGGTTCTTCGAGCTATATGGCCGACCCATTGCCACTTCAGCTTATTAATCCATAGGGTTATGTCGGTCAATCCGGTTCAACTGCGGATATCCATATTCCTAAGTTTATCACGCAGAGAAACCCCGAGCATAACCCTCTCCATAGCTCGCAGAGTGACTTTGAGCGTCCTCGTAGCAGTGAAGGTCTTAGATCCGTAGGTAATCACTGGTGACATGCACTGGTTGTACAATTTAGTTTTCAGCTTTTGAGATATACCTAACGAGAACACGTGTCGCCATTTCCCGAACGCTTCCCAGTCCAGTTGAATCCGTCGATTGACCTTTCGGTCGAAGTTGGACTTACTTAGTCTGACTATTTGTCCCAGGTAAAAAATAATATCCTCTGCTAACTAT